CCGGGCCGGTGACCGGGCCGGTGGCCGGGCCGGTGCCGGGCCGGTGCCCGGAACACAAAATAGTATATTATGGAGTTAGTATATTATGCTAACTCTAGCCCGTCGTCTCCGAGCAGAAACAGACAAACCAGCCTCGCGCTTCGTCTCGGCACACAAAGGCATAGCCAAAAGTTCTCGCCAACGGTCATCATGATGCTGGCTTCCCCTTTCATCCGAATTCTCCATGGTCATGCAGTCGGCCTGATAGTCCACGGGCTGCCACCCCTCAGGCCCTGAAATGGCAGCCTCAACGTCCGTCATGAGTCGCCCCCGCCTTCGGCCTTACCCTTGCCGGGTTTCTGGCCCTTGCGGTGGGATGCTTGCTCTTCTCGTGCTTTTCGTGCTTCCTTTGCTATGGCAGCTTCTGCTTTGAGCTCGTTGGCAACGTGGGCAGCCAATGTTGAGTCAATGCCAGCTCCGGAGCGCTTGTACTTCCACCCCATCATCAAATCTGAGGAGGTGTAATCCGGCTGTCCCGGTGAGATTCTATGGGCCTCACGGATCACTTGGAGCCTCCTGCAAATAGGCTCTGCTGACTGTAGGGCTGGGACGTTCAACTGATCGACCACCACCATTGACTCCAAGATCCTAGACAAACACTCATGCTCATACAAGGATCGATCACCTCTTGGAATGTCTGCTGTGCGGAGCCAATACTCATGGAAGCTGCTAGGCGTCATGGCCTGATCCCTCAACTCCTTCATCAACCTGAGAGCTGTTGCAGGCCCGGTCAACTGAAGTCCGCCCCCTGCTGGTTCTGCATTGTCCATGTCAGCAACTGCCGCATTGAACTCCCTCCTCCGAATTCCCTGAGCATCAAAAGAAATTGGGAGGAGACGCAAATCATCCAGTCTGTAAGCAGCGGCTTCGGAAGCCTTCACCTTTCGAATCAACACGGCAGTACCTGCCACTGGCAAAACACCTCGCTCACCAATGACCATACTGCCGGGAGGTAACACTGCTGGATCCCGAGCAACAACATCGCCCTTCTTGTGAGGTCCACCATCTTCCAAAACAACCCAGGTATCAACTGCCTCAACAACTGCTACCCCAACCGCCCCGGCACCAACGGAAGCGCCTCCGGGCGGGGCAGCCGGGGCTGCCCCTGGACGGACCGCCGGTGCTGGAGCTGCAGGTGCCACTCCAGGAACTGCTGCTGGTACTCCATGAGCTGCTCGATGGGCATCTGCAAGCACCTGTCCCTACTAAAGGCACCCAGCTCTTGAGGGGTGAGTGGATCAAAGCCGTATACATGGGCTGGATTGATGTGAGCCGGCACCATCCCTGCTTCCCCACAATAAAAGAATCCAGTGAAAGCAGAGTTACCTGGAGCCACTTCCTCAATGTATATATCATGATCTGGTGTCAATATTGCCCAATCGGATCCTCCAGCGTGAGCTAGAAGGGCCCGACAGTGCCAGATCCGCCCTGGCTCTCCGTAGTTCACCAGCACTAGCCCTCCCACGTTCATTCCGAGAGCTGCATAAACCGACTACTGAGACCTTGGACTCCCTTCCCGCCTTTCGGCGACCCAGACCCGCTCTTCTGCAAAACCTGGATGTGGTACAGCACTAGGCTCAAGCCTACAGCCAGAAAAAACGCTAGCACGCTCAGTCCGGTGGTGAGAGGATTCCAGGTCTCTGGAGGTGTCGGAAGATCACAGGTGCAATGACAGTGACAAGGAGGAGGTGGCAACGGTGTCTCTCTCGAGGGGCCTTTCGTCCACAGGCCAAATGCGATCGCGATCCCTGCCACGACCAACGACGGTTCCATGGCCGAACCCCCCCTCAAGCACTTGAGATGAATGTCACGGCATTCAACTTCGTTCCATCATTCATGAGTGAACTCTGTCCATAGTGTCATGACGTTGAAGATATATAATGTATGTCATTACGTTTTATAATGAAACCGTCTCCAACAGAACAATAAGCTACTAGGAGCAAAGGGCATCGCTACTAGTAACAAGTGCCTTACTAGGAACAAGAAGCTAGTAGACACAAGAAGCTACTAGTAACAAGTGCATCGCTACTAGTAACAAGTGCCACGCTAGTAGTAACAAGTGCCTCACTAGTAGTAACAAGAAGCTACTAGTAACAAGTGCATCCTGGTCACCAGGTCACCCTTCCGACCACTCCGAGTCTGGGCGCCCCACGCCGCAGGCACCTCTGCAAGACCCTCCAGCGCAGGCAGAAGCAAATGGAGCTCAGTGGTCTGCAGGTCCCCGAGGAGGGCGCCATGCGGAGCGCCCACCTAGGAACAAGAAGCTACTAGGTTGAAGGCCATCGCTACTAGTAACAAGAAGCTACCAGTAGCAAGGTGCCTTGCTACTAGTATCAATTAGCTACTCGAGAACCTTGATGGGTGGATCTCAATCTGCCCCTCCCACCCTGGTAGGTTACACCCCCAGCCACTCCCAGCAGGGCAACTCGTGGTGGAAATCCCAGTCCCAGTGGCGCGTGCACTCCGTCATAGCTCTTCCAAGCTGACAACCCTGCGCCTAACCGCAGGAAACTCCCTAGGGAGGCCAGTGACAATGGAACAGGCAGCGCTCCCTGCCATCGAAACCAGATGCGCAAGTGGTGAAGATTCTGGATTGAGTGGTATAACCAGTGGGCATCAGTGGGCTATCTTTACAACCAGAGCTGCCAAACAGCAGATTAGAACATCTCTCAATCTAATTGGGGCATCTCGCCAGTGGTAACCAAGCGCTAAAGCAGACGCCCTTCAATGTGACCCGCAGAGGGTGTCACAGAGCTTTCCGAAGCACACAAAAAGCTGCCCAAATTACATGAAGTTTCACGAACTGCTCCCAGTGCTTGTGCCGTGCCAGTTCTGCTTTTTGGTCCAGTGCCTCATGCCTCGGACGTGCGAAGCTCTAAGGGAAGCCGCACAGCAGGTGCGCCGAGGAAGGAGCGCCAGGGCGAAGGTTGAGTCGACCAGTCCTCGACGCGTATAGAGTGGCGGTATAGAATGCTATGGCTGGGAGGATGGGGAAGGAAGAGAACATGTTGAAACATGCAGTGGCCGAGATTCTTCTGGCGATGATGTTTCGATCAAACAAAGTGAGAAGCACACTCGCAAAGCGCGTGTTCTTGCAAAGAATGGCCTTTGATTTGGGAGACTATTTAGCAATCTGGGCCCCACAAACTGCTGCGGTTGCCTAACGCCCGATGAAACGCCCGGTCCAGCTTCGGCGGAAGCTCTGCCTGAATGTCCAGAAAGTGTTTGCCTCACTCAATCAGCCAAGCCAACATGCAGACTGAAAGAGAGAAACAAGCGGCCACAGCATCTCAAAATGTACTTGACATTATTCAGTTGTCCACCCAAAAACTTGTTCACGCAAAAACTTGATCAGCTTCTCAGCCCCCGCAAAGAGAAGAAATCCACATACCTGGAGACCCATCACATGTGAAATCCATCCTTTCAGCAGATCAGTTGCTGCGCCAATGGTACCGCAGTACCTCCTCAAAGCGATGTCTCCTTGGAATGGCCGTGTGAAAGCAGCCACGCAAACAGAACTTGTACGCAAAAGACATATTCATATTATTATTACTTGCATTAGAGGTGAAAGCGGCTGGCACATCTTCCACAACTCTTGGCAGCCCCCGCCGAAACAGGGCCAATATATTATATGCCAGTATACAGCACTGGCAGTGAGTCAATTGGAACCAAGAAGGCTGAGACGAGGTTGATAAGAAATCACAGCTGGTCATTCACTAGGTCGCGGAGACAACAAATAACACTGCCTCACATCTGGTTCCCGCTACCAAGGAAGAACATCATTCATTCTGCGACCTTTCCGGAAGACACGAAAAGGTCGTCTCTGTTTTTCAAGTATAGAGAACTGGAAACGGACCAGACCGGCGGTGCACCCGATCGACGGAATTCACCGGAAGAGGAGGTCGATTTGGTATCATATATATATATATATAACTATATATATTCATATTGATACCTAGTAGTTGTTGACTTGGGGGTATCCCCTCTTTCAACCTACAATAGTAAGAGGCCATCTCTTTGGCTGCTTTCCATTCCTCCCACCCCTTGACTGCCAGCGTCAGGGCATCGTTCTGTGTGTCGTTCCCTACAGCTGCTGTCAGCGCAGCCAACGCCGCCGCCGGCGGCTCACGAGGGTCCAGGGCCCAGCTCGCCAGGGGCAGGACAAGCTCCAGGACGCGCATGCCATGGGAAATCCCAAAGTGAAAGGCAACATGTGGCGATTTCTGGAACGAGCGTTCTGTTTGAGATGGTTGGTTCTGGCTGGCTTTGGGTGTTCCGAGAAGTTCCTCCAAATCGCTTGGAAAAGAGCGTCCAAGCCTTCTAGCATCTGACGTCGGCGGTTCAGGGGCAGGCGTAGGCATCAAGGGATCGCAATCTCAAGCGTTTTCAGTGTTTCCTTCAGAACATGGCCTCCTCATGGATGAATCGATCTCGCTCCTCACCCTAGTCTGTTCCACTTTCAGGTTCGTGTATACAACATAGTCCTGTCCAGTTCTTTCCTTTTGACTCTTGACCTGACTCTTGACCTATTCTTTATTATAAGATCTGAAAGTTTCCTGCTGCCTCTCTGCTTCTGTTTGTGGCAGCTGGACACATGAACATCTGCGTATTGGCTGAGATTCATGGAATGAACTATTTCCACACTTTGAGAATACATCTTTCCCTTGGTGAATTTTGTACCCCAAAGCTTCTGGATCTACCTTTGCCAGTCAGAATCATAGAGGCGCACCGTGGGACTGGAACGGCCCAAAGGTCCATTTACTGGCATTGGTTCCTCATCCGAAACCCCCAGACTTCTTCATGCAAGTTGAATCTCCTGACCACTGCGAAACATGTGATGTGGATTGCTGTGGCACATATCGCAGCTTGTGAGGAACTCATCCCCCAGCAAGCCCCCCATGGTGCCTCAACGGGGTGGAGACAAACATTCACTGGCGCATCTAATCAAGCTTATGTTCTTTTCCACCAGTCTAACCAGGTCTCTGAAATCATGAAAGCACGTGGATGGCGTTTGAAAAATTAAACCCCGTGGACCGTGGACCCTCAATCAGAACACCAAACAGGTGCCAAGCCCGCCTCGTCAGCTCCACCGGTCCCCTGTAGGGCCCTGTGCAAGCCCCCTAAGTTCAGGGAACCCTGCTTCCTGGAAGAGGCCCAACTTGCGAGAAAAATAAGAACCAAAGCTTTTCATGGTTTGCAGTTGTTACGTATCAAATAACTGGGAAGCATGGGATTGAAGATATTGAAGCCAGCTGTCTTTCCAATCATCAGTGAGTTTCCTCGTGTCCTACTCAATCCTAAACAACATAGGTCTTCACCATCCGGACCATTCCTATTCGGGAGGATTGTCATCCCGTCCACCCTCTGCCCTAGTGATTTCATGTTGACCATTCAGAAGAAAGAGAGTAGTCTCAGCGAAAAGTGCCTTTCAAAAGTATCTCTACATGTGTCTAGTATACATTGATATATTGGGAAGTGCTCTGGGGGTGATCACAACCTGCACTTGGTGCGTCCAGTCAGGGAGTTCCTCAAGATTCGCCGAAACCGCCGAAACCGGCATTTTCCACGCCCAGATGACCAACCCTCTGGGACGCAGCACAGCGGCGTTCCAAGGGGGGTCTCACTCCCGTCGGTAGATGGTCAGAGCAACAGGAATCTCAAAGCGAGCAGGAACGACACCTTCCAACAGATCCCTTCCTTAAGGCGTTGATCCACTCAATTGATGCGCAGGTGTGGTGTCCTGTTGGAGGTTGATCACGAATGATCATTTTAGAGGGTCAAATCGTCCATGTTCCAACCCGAAAACGAACTGGTAGAGTTAAACGGTGTTAAACGAACCAAAGATCTTCACTGTTCTGGCGGGGTCTGCGCTCCTTTCCGTTTTGCTTGGGCCGTGGGTACTGCTCTTCCCCACGGGCCGTGGGTACATTGGAACAATCTGGTGGAACTCTCATGTGCTTTACATTTTACATCACCCAGATTCACCCGCTGCAAGCACCTTTTGGGAGCCCATCGACTTGCAGGGTGGCACCCTCGAGATGTTTTATCTATGGCTGCTCTAAGAAGTTTTCTGGATCCCAACCTCTACGTGCTGATTGATTTGCACACCCTTGTGAGAGTTCGAACCCCCTTGGCTGTACACAGCGGCGTATGGGGCGCACCTGGGGACGCCCCCGCAGGCGTCTTTCCACAGGTCGACGATGGATGCGACGATGGATGCAACGAGTTTGTGACACTCTGATGAAGACATGGCTGTGGGTCATGGCACACGGACGTTGACCACCAAGAATGAACAGAATAAACTGCTTGAAGTGGATGGCATGGCCCCGAAAGGAAGACGACTTTCCTTTACAAACAGGGGGGTGCCATCCACGTAACCGTGTGATGTGCTCGTCGTATTTTACGTGGCGTTTCCATGTGAGTTTACAACCACGTGACATGGCCACATCGTGGCAAAGGATCTCAGGACATGCCCCACAGTGGGGGATTCTTGGGAGGAAACGCATGATCTTCTGATGTATCGGAATTGGATGGAGGTCCACTTCTTTTCAGCAGCACTGATTTCAGGGTTCTCGACCAGCATCCATCTGGCCCCCTTTTCATGCACTGGCATAGCTCGGGGAGGCGCTGGCAAAGAAGAGTATCGTGCTGTCAGGATGTTGGAATCTGGAGGTGACCTGAGGGATACGCAGTGGTTCACATGAGAGAGAGTTGCTTTATGCTTTTGAGATGTATATGGTCCCCCAAAAAAAATGACAGAAGTACATGTTTCAAGGAGGAAAGAATGTCAATGTCCCAAGACAGTTTTTGGTCAACAAAGGCCAACGTGCAATGAGAGACTTGGATGTGCGAGGAGCTACGTTGCTCTATCTCTCCACGGTCTGTAGCGAAGCTAACAATCTCTTTGGTAGCGTGTGAGAGGGTGGAAAAGGGAATGTCCTGAAGTGGAGGATGACAGTATGACCAATGTCTCGGTAGCGTATACACTGTTTATACAGTATATATATATATGTGTATGATATGCTATACTCAAATATAATTAACTACTTTCTAAATATGTGCATGGATTTGATCCAACGGTCACGTTCCTATAATGATCTTTTGCAAATCAATCTAACCTCCTCCTCCTCCTCCTCCTCCTCCTCCTCCATCAACCCTGGAGTCTCTCCAACCCATAAAATACATAAAATACAAACACTCCATCCACACGCCACTTGACGAGAACTCCTGCACAAGGTGCCCACCATCAGGGCGCCGATGGAAAAAAAAGGTAAATTCAATCATAGAGTAACATCAACTTGAGTTGCGAGAAGACTCGACCCCCTGTGGTACCACACCTCGAGCGGGGCGATCGCATTCTCTGACAGACACACCATGGGAGATTGGAAGTCTGCCAATTGTGGAGCTTTTGGACAAATGACATGAGAGTTTGGAGCCACAGGCAGAATCAGGCTGACCAATTTCTCCATGGAAAGGGAGGAAGAACGAGGGGTTGGGCCGCAGCCCGGATCTCACACCTACCTTCACTCTGTAGCTGCTGCTCCATCAATCGTCCGGATTCTTGACTTGTCTGACTCAATCAGAACGACAGGCAGCCAGCAGGCTCCCAGCTGCCTGAGTCAGATACCTCACCATTTGGGAGGGTGAAAACTGATTTTAAGTTCCTTCTTTAGAAGATCTGAAGAATTGTTCTACACCTTGATGGTTTCAAGAAGGCTCCACCCAGTTCAGGTCTGCCAGTGAATCCCTCCGAAGTGCCAGCGCAAGGTCGGGGCACGGTCGTCAGCTGATCTGCACGACCGTTCTTCGTTTCGCATTGGTGCGGTCACTTCCTTCGAGAATTGACCTTAAAAGACACATGAAACTGGTAGAAGGAGTCCACATGACATCAATCCTCATCTTCCTCAGCGCGGTACCCAGCGTCATCCAGATGTTTTTCTCAGAGTGGGCTTGCTGAAAACCGATATCCCATCGGAATTAGGAACTGACCACACCGAGGTTGGCCGGGACAAAGGGAGGACCTGCCGCGCACCGACGTTGCCGGGCAGCAGGGCACTTGTTGCGCCCCCCCCGTCATTCGGCAAAAACTGTCCGCTGTGACGGACCAGGAGAGACCAAGGCGTGAGAAGTGGAGAGGTGCTGGAGAGGTCTGTGGCCCTGTCGGCTGTGACAACGCGAACGAAAATAACTCTTCACGCACGAAACTTCACCATGAAAATGGAACTTTGAACTCTGGGGTACCAGCCGCTAGCTAGCAAATACAACGCCTCCTCGTTGGTTCTTTCTTCACCTAAACCAGAACAGTTGTTCGGTGTTGCACCTCTCTTGAAGCAGATTTCTTGACGTAGATTCATGAAGCGAGGATCTTTAGCAACATTGAAGCCAAAGTTGTTTGGCCCTTCCTCATTGAGTGCAAGTCATTAGGCTACATAATTCATCATATTCATCATCATCGTCGTCGTCAACATACACAGACTCGTCTTGGGAACTCAAGAATTGTATATGATGATATATTGTCCTCTACAAGTAGTCTAAATACGTCTGGATCATCTGTGCACTGTGCACTGCGCCCGCTCTTTTTGGGCATGTGGATGTTGGGCCCAACACCACTGCCCTTTGCAACACCACGCCAAGCTCTTCTGCAGCGCATTGGCTCACCCCGAGATTCGTCGCTCTCGGGGTGTCTACGGCGAGACCCGACGGCTCTGACGGATGCGGTGGTTTCTCGGTCAAGGCTCCAAAGTCCTCCCAGGAGAAAGAATCGGAAAAGAGGGTGCAGTTTTGGACAGCCCTGATTCAACATGGTTCAACCTAGAGTGGGAAGCAGAAGTGTAAGTTTGTACATCTGCGGGACCTTAGACCTTACGATTTGGACTGGAGGGGAGCCCAAATCCTCTTGCTTGCAATGCCTCCTGAAGAAAACCCATCTGGTGACAGCCAAGGAAAAATCATGATGCAATGGGTGGCCCAACCAACACCTACCAATCAGCTCTCACACACTTCAAACCATCCTGCTTACCTGTTTGCACTCCGGAGCCACCAAAAGTATCACTTAGTGATGAATCCAAAGGTGATCAAGCTGCTAGGGAGGTTCTTGTTTGGGTCCACTCAACACTGATGATCGCGCCTCCTTCCCCAGCGTCGGGTGATCTTGGGCTCCTGAGCGAGGGTCCACGAGTCCACGATGGCCCTGTTGCGAGGGTCTTCCACGAACGTTTTGAGCAGTTCTTTTGTGTGGTGAGGGAGTCTGCAGGACGTTTGGACCGAAGAAAATGAACATGTGCCTTTACATAGCTCTCAGGGAAATGGCCACTTTCTGCTTCTGTTTCGTGACCTGCCCACACAAAGTCGTGGTTTGCACAGTCCATGCATGGTCCATCTCTCCCCTGTCTTCCAGCATGGGAGCACGGGCCTCAGGAGACTCCTGCTCGGGGGGGCTTGGCTCTGAGCCATTGAGATGAGAGAGAGGCACATAACCTGGCAGCGCCGTTCGATTCACCGTGCGACTGGGTGTGGCTGATTGTGGTGCTCCAACATGTGTTGCAGCTTCAGTAGGAATTTAGGTGGGTTGGTATGGTGAGCAAATCTGGGATTTTCAGAATGTGGTGAATGTTCACATGATATGTCATACTCTAAGCCCCGAGGTGCTCGGTCAAAGCTTTTTTAGCTGCTTCCAGTGTTTATATAGATGGTGATTTTGGAGAAGTCGTTTACCTTGATTGGCGACCTGAATGAGTTGAAAAAGCCTGTGGCAGGCCATCCACATGGAATCTGCAAGCCCTGGGCTATACAGTGCCACAAGACCCGAAGCCATGGCAACATCACACCATGAACCAAGCCTCACCACTTCATACCAGTTCCAAGTGGATAGTGACTTGTTGTGCTGGTTTTGCTTAAGGTGATTAGGTATTTTCCCTATGGGCCCTATGGGTAAATCCGGGAATATTCTTGTCCAGGTTCCTGAAACAAATCCAAGTTGTAGAATGTTATGGGGAGTTTCGGGATAGAGGACAAGTGGTGATGTTTGTTTAGACTGCTGGGGATCTACATGATAGGCTCGTAGGTACAAGACCTCTTTCCTGTGGTCCTCAAGTTCACCTACCTTTCAATCAAAACGCAAGATCATACAAGTCTTCACTTGCTCCAACTGTCAGGGCCAGCATATGTTGCTTTCACGTCCCATTCTTCAGCCAGCTTGGGAGTCAAACTGTAGTAGGCTCCCTTTTCGCCCAACGCTGTTCTGGTCACCCAACGCCGCTCGAGGTCACCGTATGAATTCCGAGGCTCCATCTTGGAGAGCCACATAGGCGAGCCCGTTGAACTCCTGCTTCACCAGAATGCCCCAAGCCCAATATCCGCCTTCCTGCAACGAGCAAAAAAAGACTGCTGAGATGGCAGGAGATCAGCAGGGCTCCTGAAGAAGTGGCTCACAGGGTCGTTTGGCATTGGCTTTGCACCAGCGCAAGGACACACTCTCCCCTACCATCACACAAAAAGCTTGGAGCAAACAATGTTAAACTTCGACTTGAGCTCAAGCCATGAAACGGGCAGCCTCAAACCAACTCCAGTAGTCATCGAGCTTGAATCCCAAGAGCAGTCTGCAAACTGGCTAGCTCTCCTTCAATTAGCGCCTGAACTGCCAGCACCAAGATAGCTTTCTTTGGGCCATGTGAGGAGTCTGTTGAGCAAATAAAGAGTCTGTTCTGATCTCATGTGTACCACTGTACCACTCCCAATCCAACAGAAACCTCCCTGAGCCAAAAAGAAGGATGCCCAGAACCAGTCCTCCTTGGGTTGCTCCCACATGCGCAGAAAAAGGTCACCTTCCATCACTTTCAGCTGATCAGGCCCCTGCGGCACAAAGCCACGGTCCACTGTCAAGACTGGGTAGCCTCGGGCCACGTATGCAGCACGAATCAGCCGCGAATCCATGGCGTGTACGTCTGCGTGTGTTGGTGTGTTTCGGATATCTTCCGAAAGCGGCGAGTGGAAGCATCAGCTGCTTTCCCTTCCGCGGTGCACGTGGCGCGGCGCATTTGCGGGAAGCTCTGACTCTTGCATCACAGGACGCAGGACCGCGGGTGCAAAAACTGGAACCCAAAGGCAAAGTGACATCCCAAACTGGGATTATCAGTTTCCATTGTATGGGCGTTGTATGTTTTTTGCCGTAGTCGGGCTGTGAACGTTTGAGTATGATTCAAGGGTATGATTCGCCATGAAACTATGTTCTAGCACGAGTTTTGAAGTGTGTGATTCAGTGGCATGATTCGAAGTGGTCGCTACAAGTAACAAACCCATACAGAGATTATATGAGGTTGTAGAGCAGTAAACCCAATGGTAATGGGTGGACATATTGGCAAGTAGGGTTTTGGTGAATGAAAAAAATGCCCCCCCAAACTGCACCAGTGTCCTTCGCTCAGGTTTCTTTTACCCTGCGCTCCTCCTTTCACCAGGCAGCTAGTCAGGGAGCTTATCCCAACAACACTCAACCCATGCACGCCTCCCACCGGAAAAAGAACCACCTCGGCCACCCGTGCGCCCAAAAACCCGTGCGCCGACGCACGGGTAAGCGGAGTGGCTCTCGAGCATGCTGGGGTCGATCTGATGACCGTAGAAACCATCGCCTCGGCCGTTTCCAACGACCGCCGTGAGTTCGAAGAAGAACCGGATCAGGCCGCTTCCGGCACTGAGAAAGCGCTCAGAAAGCGCTGAGAAAGCGCTGGAGATGTTTTTCTCCAAATGCCTTGTTAAACATTGGAGGTGTTCAGTTGGCACCTCACAACGTTTGTGAAGAATCTTGTTCACAGACTGTGGGGAGAAGGTCAAGCTCTTTCCTTCTAATCCCCAGTATAGGTGCCTGTCAAAGAAATAGGCACCTTCATGCACCTTTTGAGGGAGGTTTCAATACCCCAGTTCGTTTCAGAGCACTCGTCATCCTCCACCCAAGCTTTTCCACCCCAAGCTGCTTGTCTTGCTGACGAGTGGCTGTCCTCCGCCTGAGAGGAACTCATGCGGGACATTACTAAGATAGCTGAGAATGAAGAAAACCAGAGCAGTTCCTCCAGGACTCCATGTTCAAAGATCCATATAATATATATATATATGGCCTGTGAAAGGCCAGTCACAGATTCTTCATGAAGCTGTTTGGCAAGTAGGGTTTATTGTTGTACTGAGGTTGTGCATGGTTGGGTGTTGGATATGAGTGCTGGTGAGACATCCATTAAGGGTGCGTACACCATCCAAATCTATAAAGAACTGTCAGAGTTTTTTAGAACCAAATACTTTAGAACTCAAGAAAGCTCTTGAAGGATGTCCTGCTTCATAGCTCGATGGGATAAAGGTCCAAAATGTTCATGAATCGTGAAGTTTCAACCAGGGACGACTACGGAATCTGTGAAACTCCGTGGTTTGCTCGCTTACTTTTGCTTCTTTCGTCATAGGCAAGGAGTTACCATCTAGCAACATGCAAACGATTGTCAAAATTAGAAACACATGGCTAATCCAATAAGTGCTGATTCACCACCGAGCGAGTCCGGGACTTATCACCCGCCCTGGTCTCCCACGGTGGAACGACCAACGCCGGGCCCGTTCGGCCCCCCGTTCCTCCTCCGCTTCGGACTCCTCGACGTCGCTCTCGTTCTCGTCTCGTTCCAGGCAAGCTTGCACATGCGCATCGATGGCATCGGGATGGAACTTCTCCTGCCAGAAGCTCCATGTGGACGAAATGAGCGACACGGCGACACGGCGACACAGCGACACGCAGCGACACGCGTGTCAGCCGCACGCGCAGCTGACCGTGTGGACCCGGAGTTGGGGAACTTCAGGTGACCGGGGTGGCCAGGTGGGGGGGAGTTGTGCCGAAAAGCATGTCCACCATCGCAGTCAAACCTCAAGGCAGCCAGAGGCATAGGTCAACGTGCCTTCAATTTCTATCTGGCGAGGGCTTCTGGCGCCTGCAACACCTTCAGCAGGGTCTCTGGGATACTCTTTGGGCCCTCTTCCGCCGTGTGCTGAACCACCTTCTACAGCCACCTTCTACACCGCGGGTCTCGCACCAGGCCCTCCTGGCAGAGGGGGCAGGCTTTCCAGGACTCCGTGGCCAACGGATTGGCCAAGCATGCTTCCACGTGCGAGGGCAAGTCCTTCAGCTTGATCCTCTCTTGGCCTCGCATTCGGAGGCGCTTCGGTTCGGGCCGCTTTCGCGAAAACGACCCCAATGAAGCCAAGGTGGCTGAAACGGGTCTACTGCTGGAGAGGGTGTCAAGTTAAGAAAACAGTTGCTGACCAACCAGCCACCCCAATAGTTTTCGGCGAATGTGGCTGTTCTTCGGGAAGTCGAGTGCTATCAAGTTCCAACCGTTCTCACACTGATTCAGTATCCAGTATCCAATTGGATCCAGGCAATCACACTAGGCAGTCGGCAGTCTCGTTGACCAGTCGGCAGTCGGGTCGCTGGACAGCGTGGTACCGGTGTGCATGAACCCAAGGATTTCGGTGCGTGATCCCGTTTGTGCAAGGAACATGCAAGATGAGTAGGAATCCAGCTTTCTGTTCTCTTAGTAAAGAGAGGCGTCCTCACCATGTGTATGCCCCAAAGCACTTTGTGTCAGTATTGTTTTCGGTCTACTGTGGACTTGATCTCAGCATCCGCCGTTGTTGTAACCAGTCATAGCTTCGGTTACAGCCTCATTCACAAGTGAAAACTCGGGGTCAGGGCCCCGAATGCCGTTTGACGGGTGTGAAGCATTCCACCCAACATCTGTGACACCATGCTCACACAGCTATAGTCGTGGCTCAAATGAGTACCAGTCAATGGATGTAAATGGTCTTTATTCAAAGAAGGAATCCAATATTGAAACATCCTCACATGCCTCACATTGACCATAAGGCCTCCGTCTGTTCGCCCCAAAAACAGAAGAAGTAAACACATTAGGGCACACCAAGTCGCAAATTGGGCAATCTTCGTACAACTCCGCTTCCTCGACCTCACGGGTCTCCAGCTGTGGCAGCATCCAATCAGCAGCAACTGTGGCCACGGTGCCTTGTGTGTCTTCGAAGAACCACTCCGCTTCTCGCTCGACCTCACCGGTCTCCAGCTGTGGCAGCATCCAATCAGCAGCAACCATGGCCATGGTGCCTGGTGTGTCTTCGAACGGCTCCCAATCGTCAAAGGCTTCCTTGGATCCAACCAACCGTGATGCAACGCCCAGCGAGGACTGCAAGGACTCAAAGATGGGCATACACCTGTTTTATGAAGAAGGACATGGAGAGGTAGAGGGACAACCCAAGTGGATTCAGGGTGGGTACTCATAGTTGGAGCAAGAATTTCTACATGCCAAAGCGGGAAGGTGCTCTGCAGGTTCCCAGCATCTGCTCGCACCAGCAGACACTGAAGGTGCCAGAAGGAAACAGGGTGGATCCCATGCATCTCCGACTCAAAAGGGGCTGCTTTCTTCGGGTCAGCTTCTTTCTTCCTCACTGAGGTGATGTGAAAACAAAGACTTCGACTTCGAGAATGTGGTCACGTCGAAGACGCGTGAAGAACGAGAAGAACGAGTTTTGGTGCTGAGCTGCTTCGTACTTGTCCTCCTTCACCTTTTTCTTTGGTACTGCAACCTGTACAGGTCGCCTCGGCCAAGTCCGTGTTGCGCTAGGGCCACTCGGGCGTTGCACAGCGGCTGCGGTGGCAGCTTCCACCATCGAGAGCTTCGGAGGCGGCGTGGTGTTGTGGGAGAGCAGCATGTGTTGCTTTAAGGTCTTGTAGAGGCCGAAGTTGTTGTGACCTCGACCCACGTTCACAACATCAGGTGACTAAAATTGGTGGGAGGTTCAGGCAGTGAAGAATGAAGATGCAACATGCACAGCATCCAGGATACTCAGGATACCTTGTCTGCCCACCATGCCAATGTCTAAGGGGAAAGTACCCCACTGAAAACTAACATAGACCCTGAAAACCACTGGTTTGTAGAGGAAAACCGTCCATGTTAGTTTTTCGGGAGTGTAGATCAGGAATCGTTGAAAACTTGAAGCCAACAATGCACGAATCTGTTCTTCTACTCGCACCCTATAGGCCTTCTGAGTTGCCCCGATGTCCATCGGCATACGTGGACGATGGTATTCGATGTTGGCCCCACATCTATGATAGAAACGACTCCTAGTCCATCCTCTGCTACGCAGTAGTGGACTGGGTTCATGAGAACAAGAACAAAAGGAACCAAACTTCTCTTCAAACTACTTTTCGCCCGCCACAAGTTCACAGAACTTCCCCCCATCTTCTATAGTCTCAAAAAAGACCCAAAATTAAAAGAAAATCCCTCCATCAGATCGTGTGACAGACAGGGCAGCTGAAACTCCCCAGCTTGGGTGGCGACTTCAGCTTGGGCATCGCCCGAATCCGCTGCCGCGCTTCCGTCGCGTCCTTCGGCTTCATCGCACCCCCCTGTTGGCCGAGCCATAGCCAGGGGGCAGCTGGCTAGGATTCGGAGGGGTCATCGCCTTTTCTCCCTCAGTTGTTGCTGAAACACTTAAAGGTTAGTCTCTTTCCACCTGTTGGGGCTAACCAATCCCCTAAAAAGGTGAGCCAGCTATTCACTGCTTCCTGAGGTTCGGCTATCCAGCGATCGGCTATCCAGATGCTGGAGTCTGTGTTCCTCAGTCGAGAATGTTGAGACCACTTCCGGGATCCTGTGCCAACTGGACACTTGTTTGTGGATTTGGGGTGCAAGTGGTTGCTCGTGTGTTCTCACCTTCCTAAAGCTTGTACATGCAGCGCAACTTAGCTCGTGGACAGACCGCGGTGGACCCTGAGAGGTCCAGGTGGACCATTTTCCGAAGACCAGGTTGATCCTGCGAATCAGCAGGCCCGAAGCCGAAGTCCTAGCGAAACCCGAGCAGAAGGGTGACTTCAGGAATTCAGCCCAATCCTCAATGGACGTCCAATCGACTTATATATATGTATATACAGCCATGTTTCCCCAAATCACACCGCTAGAGCCAACAAAAAAGGCGATGTCCAAACAGGTTAAGTGGCTTTTACAAAGTTCATCAAGCTTCTCATGGCCTACTCGAGCGCTGTGCTTTCCCGTCGCTCTGCCTCGTTCCTGGCGGACCGTGCCCTCTTGCCCTTCGTCTCAGCCTGGATTAGCCATGCGCCCGGCGCAATGGCCTGGCAGAGAACTGACGGAACACGAGAGACAGAAAATGTCTTTCTGAGTTTGCACGTGATCTTTAAAACTCAAGCGACAGGTGTGTATATCGTCACTTTTTTGCTTGAGAAGTGTTCATGCCTCTTGAAGTTGCTATCAACATCAGTTCACTGGTTTGTCTTGTCAGAGTGAAAGAGAACAACTTTATCATGATCCCTTCAAAGTGAGCCTTATTTTACCCTTTTGACTCAGACTGTCATCTTGTGAGGACACTGCACTGCGACAGTTACCAGAACGCTCAACCAGAACGCTCCACCAGAATGCTTCAGAGTGCTCCACAAAAAAAATGAAACCTTGAGTTCCATGTGTGAGGAGAACTTGCTAGCACCACCTTGTGTTTATCATCGGCAAGCAAGCGAAGCCTGCCTTATTTGGCAGAGACCACAAATCTGTACCCAGGAGCATTCACCTAAATTTCAGATGCATAGGCTACATTGGAAACAGGAAACACCGACATCTGGCCAGCTCATAGTCATAAACACAAATACAATCAAATACAGATAAATACATCCCTTAAGCCTGACTGCATGGCAAGTGCAAGAAGCCTCCAAGCACGTCCGCCCCATGTTTCGACCAAAAACATCTTCACAACCTCATCTTGTCGCAAGGTGAATCACGCCAAAAAGCGAGCGCCGCTTTTCACTCAAGAAATCCCACCCCTCCCAGAAAGGCCGCAAACGTGATCCTGGATATCTATAGGCGAATAGGCGTTCCTCCTGTCCAGACCGACCCCACATGCTCTGTCTCGCCCCAAAACCACCACACCGCAGCGCAGCGCTCTGTCTCGCCTTGCGGCGGTACTCCGCTAAGGTGCTGCCGGCAGGTCCCAGTAGGCGCAAGCCCCAGGTCACCGCCGCCTCGCCCACCTGGCGAGTCCGCGAGGCCAAACACGACGTGGGAGTCGGCATGGTTCCATGCGGAGCAACTGGGAGGTTCAGGAGAATGGCCGATGTTGACTAGTTGTTCTGTCAGTTGTTCTGTTGAACATAATAATTAAACATCTAAAGTTGCCCACTCAGGTGCATGAGGTGAAGATCAAGATTGAAAAGTGTAAGATTGCATCCTCTTTGAGCGCATTCAGCACCGATACAATGCAACTGGGCAGAAGGACCTGGCTGTTTTCCCTCGAACATGTGTATTCGTTGTACCGTCAGCATGGCGAGACAGTAGGATACAGGAAGAACAAATGTGAAATCCACCACCAGACCGGCGTGCACAGGAGAAAAATCCAAGAATTTCGGATTCGCCCGATCTCGTCACAACTGTGTTTGATCCTCAGGGCCCTAGGTTGACCACCGTGTTCTGAAACACACATCGAAAACAAGGTGTCAGGCAGCCAGGCGTGTGGCAGGATGCAGGTCATCTGTTGTGATACTTCCGCAGTGGGCTGTATTCTGACTGCTCCAGCATACCCTGATACTAGCAGTCACAAGGATTCTGAAAGCAAGTAAACTTCCAACGACAGGACACATAGCCATTGGGGGTGTAGACACGACCACAAAAATCGCCAGTCCATTTTGGAGATCTTCTTGTCTCTTTAAGAGCCGCAAACTACCAATCACAAGAGAACCGCCAGGCTGCAAGGCCAGGATCACAAAAAAATGAACACCAACACGACACTCCTGCAGGCTTCATCTTCAGCTTCTCCCCACCTCCGCCAGCATGCCCAACTTCCGCAAGCGGACATCCAGCTCCTGGGATGTCACACGGGGTTGGGGGCGGAATCCCCCTGTTTGGAGCCCATAAGCGAACAGCACCGTTTGAACCCCAAAGCGAACAGCACTGTTTTGGGTCTCTTTTTCTGAGCGCAGAAGAGAGGAACCACGTTGGCAACCTTGCGGGCCAACGTGGTTCAGTGCTTTTGAGGGCTCTTCACCCATTAGGTCCACTCTTGACTTAGGTCCCTTCGGCCCTTTTGACCGAGCTCGGGTCGTTTGGGTCCAGGTCATGGAACGAGGCACTGGCCAAAAGCTCCATCACCATGCAAGGGACTCAGAGGTCTCTGGATGACCAGCACCTTCCGTTCCTTCAATCCCTCACTTCGATGAACAGTTCGAGGCGATTGGAAAGGACTCAGATCGACCTTTCGATTCCAAGTCTCAGATCGACTCCCACATGTGCGGGGGAGCCAAGATGGCTGAGAAGGCTGGTGACTGGGCAGATCGTAGTCACCTTGGCTGAGGTGACGAAGCGCCCTGGGGTGTCTTGCCTTGCCCAACAGTGAAATGTTAATAGAATATATAAAGATAAATAGAAAGATAAATAGTATAGATAGAAAATAATTAGACCAATTCTCCACCATCTGCAGAATCCTTGAACCCTGTTCTTCTCACTTCTTGCTTCCTTCTTGTTCTCCACATCGGACGCTCGGACGCTCGGGTGTCGCCCAAGGGGCATGGATCGTACCAAGCTGCGCTCTCCTCCCAGACCTCAAAAGCTTCTTCGTTTCAGCTGTAAACGGCTGGACCAGGACTGGGGTGGATCAAACAAGCCGCCTGGTTTTTTTTGCAGTCTGCACCAACAGTTCAGTACCTGGTATACCTATTCGAGGAAGCTGGACCTCACTGCTTTTGCGGAGGAAGTAGGGTCCTCCGAGAATATGCCCGTGGTTGTACATCTTGCGAGAGTAGCTCAGGCATGAAAATGGCCCAAAGCTTCTGCTGGACAGCATGGGCAACGATACCCCTTCCAAAGGGCATCTTCTAAAGATTTGTAAGAGGATTTGCAACTCGTCAATTTGTCCTTCTGCTTATCGAGAGTGTTTTTCCAAAACTAGGCTCCCAACCATCGACGCACACTTCGACGCATGCTTCGCGTGAGTGTGCTCTTCACCCGATATATATAAAGTGGACAATTCTCAACTGTTCCAACCACAAGTGCTTCTTCGGTCAAGAACCTGCTTAAGAGACCTGCTTGGTCGGCCGAAGACGGTGGCTTAAGACAAAGGCTGTTAGATACTTCTGGTACGCATGTTGCCTGTGGATGAATAGGACCCGGCTACTGGATCGTGGTCAGCATCTCAAAGCAAAGGTGTATTCCATCCACAGTCAAGATTGGGGCCCAGGGGGGCCTAGGGGTGCGATTCTGCAGTTTTGGTTGAACCTTGTCCACCTGAAGACGATAGACCAACTGGAACGGGGTTGCATCAATCAGACAGTTGAATCCACACCCACCCATTTGGGGTTGGAGGAGGTCCCTATCTGCCCCTCCCATGTCTTCTTCCAGGGACTGTAGACTGTGAACCGGCAGGTTGCCACACCTTTCACAGACCCCACCCCATGAGATGGATAAGAGAGGTTATAACTTTGGTGACCTTTCGACTTGGTGGATTGCTTCCATCCTCGTGTGTCCAAACACCCAAAACGGTCCATTCTCAGAGCCACGTCATCGTGATCGATCTGTTCACAGCAGCCACGGCAGTACACCCAATAGCCATGCCACCGGAAGCCTCAGGGCCGCTTCTCAAGAGGAACAAAGTAGACTGGGCGGAAAAAAAAAGAAAAAGGGTAGACGGTCAGAACATACCACCGAGGATTCGGAGACGCTTGCTCCACGGTTTCTTTAGGATGTAGACGTCCAAACAGTCGAGTGGTGACCTACAAACAGGGTGTTATCCAAAAGTGAAAATGACGGTCAAGTGCATTGTTCAAGCTAATTGTGTGGGTCTGGCAGTACAGTCAGACCTCATGAGACCTCCCAACGAACATGATTCTTTTTTGCTCAGGGGCCCCCAGAGCTGATGAGTTGTCATCTACAGTACACGGTGTCCTTTTCTGCTAAACACCTTAAACAAGACATACAACTCAAGACACTTAACTTAGTCTTGATTGAAAAAAAATATAAAAACTGTTCACGGATTAGTCTTAGATGTTTGCCTGAGCTCCCTGATACAGACAAGCCATCCCGCGACTCGTTGTTCGCTTCGCAGAACACGGGACCCAAAGAAATTCAAGAGGGCTTCAATAGCCTGTGATATTTGTGTGGGCTGCTCACAGCGTGTCGAAGATGGGGGAAGGGGGGAAGGGATGACTAAGGAATGACTCAGGGGTTCGACAGGAAGCTCCATTGGCGCCCTCGGCCTGAAAGCCACTCCAAGGCACACTCCGCGCCCGGTGGGCATTGTGGCGCATATGCTTCACCCTGCAGGAGTTTCGCCAGGTCGGGCTTGTCCTTAAGGGAGGAAGGCAAAAACCGGAAACCCAGAACTACGTGCCAGGAAAAATGGTGGGAACGGGTATGTAGTAGTACTTGAAATGCCAGGACGCATGGTTCGCCCCCACAAATCAACAGACTATGGGATTATCGGTTTAGGGTTTTAGGGTTTAGGGTTTGCACCGTTGTTTGCATGGAATTGCTGAGGATTTGATCGTTGTTGAACATATAGAAATATTCAGTGAATGCCTCCTCATTTTCCAATATCTCTGTCATCGAATTGCCAAACCCTATGACAAACCTTCAAATGCCTACAGTCCCTTTCGGATTGCTACTTACAGGGACTTTGCTGATTTTGATGCCCCCTTCAAAGTGCTTGGAGACCAAACCGTGAGTCCGGGCGTACTTCGACTGACACCTTCTGGCTGCATGCCATATTTTGCCATGCTATTGTCCGTTCGGAGGCTGCCATGGACTGGACTGCTGAGGCTGAAGCGGAGACCGTTGGTCTTTCGAAAGTGACTTGGCGGTTTGTTGTCAGTCGATCGAAGTACACACAGAGTTCCATGAGGAACCCTCCATGAATGCGATGGGAAACTGGCCCGATCACGAGTTCCTCGACCTTGGAGACCTGTCCGCCTGTCCATGTCCTTCTTCAGAATAGGAAGGTCATGGCAAATGAGGCACATCACTTGCACATCACGCACCCTAAGCCACCCCTGCCCATCTGACGTGGCGTTGGTCTGGTTTTCCGAAAGCGGGAGGAGGAAGGCGTTGCTTGAAAAACGCTTGGCTTCAGCATGTTTCAGCTGAAAGAACGACTGAAAGAACCCAAATGGGTGTGTGGCTCAAATAGGGAGACAGACCCAAGCCGTAGGCCCCCAAAGAAGGTTCAAAAACTAGACCATGGGATCGCCCTATTCAATTTAACGCCCAAAGCACCCTGGTACTTCTGGCGCCCGAAGCCACCGAAACACTTCCCCAGTCCGAGAAAAATCGAGAAAAAACACAGGGTCCAGTGGGGTTCACTTCTCAAACAAATGGTAAACAGGTCAAACCTATCCGCCGACCCCTGCCGATGGGGGAGCGCGCCAGAGCATCACTGTGGCTGCCGTCAGAAAGTAACGTTGGCAACGCAACGAGCAGCTTCGCGGACAGTTTGCGGGCCCTTCCCGGACAGTGTTTGGGCGTGGCGAGGCAGATTGGCCGGTGCCTTGCGATTGAGTCTCTGGAGTCGTCTATGGAGCCAGGCAGGAGGCAGATTCGGAGCGGCCATCAGAAAAATGTTTGGACAAGTTGCTACTGCCGTCAGAAAGCAAAGTTTGATTCATTTTGGGTGTGGAATTAGATTGGGTAAAGCCGTAGCGAGGCAGATTGCCGACATGGCGGTAGAGACAGAGTCGGAGCGGGCATCAGAAGACAGAAGAAAGATGGCTGGAAAGACTAGTAGTTTAGACTAATTTTTAAGACTAGTTTTTTAAAACTGCCGTCAGAAAGCGACGTTTGGAACTCACTGAGCTGCGGAAAACATTTTTTTTGGTTTGGAACTAGATGGTGGAAAAGCGTGGCGGAGCAGATTGCCGGAGCCTCGCGGGGGGATGGTCTGCAGCTGGTTTTCTACGTCAGAAAGCGACGTTTGGAAGGCACTGAGCCGCTGGGGCGCTGTCTATGAAGCTATGTGTGTGTGGTATTCGGAGCGCACATCAGAAGACAGAAGAAAGATGGCTGTAAAGAGTAGTTTTTCTAAATGGCGTCAGAAAGCGACGTTTGGAACTCACTGAGCCGCTCGGAGGACAATGTTTTGATCAGTTTTGGTTTGGAAATGGAAAAGCGTGGCGGAGCAGATTGCCGGGAGCCTTGCATGGGGGCTGGTCTGCAGCTGTCTAGGGAGCTATGCGGAGGTAGAAACATAGTCAGAGCGGCCACTGTAAAGACGAGCTTCGTATGTCAGAATACGTCAGAAAGCGACGTTTGGAAGTCACTGAGCCGCTCGGGAACTGTCTACAGAGTCGGAGCGGGCATCAGAAGACAGACGAAAGACGGCTGTAAAGACTAAAAAGACTAGTTTTTTACTGCCGTCAGACTGCGACGTTTGGCATGCACTGAGCCGCTTGGAGAGCAATTCCTGGGTTATCTTTAGTTTCGAATCAGATGGTGGAAAAGCGTGGTGGAGCAGATTGCCGGGGGCCTTGGACTAGTCTGCAGTAGGTTTTCTACGTCAGAAAGCGACGTTTGGAAGGCACTGAGCCGCTGGGGCGCTGTCTATGGAGCTATGTGTGTGTGTGTGTCGTATTCGGATCGACCATCAGAAGACAGAAGAAAGATGGCTGTAAAGACTAGTTTTTTTGCAGTCAGAAAGCGACGTTTGGAACTCACTGAGCCGCTCGGAGGACAATTTTTTGCTCAGTTTTGGTTTGGAATTAGATGGTGGAAAAGCGTGGCGGAGCAGATTGGCGGGAGTTTTGGGGGCTGGTCTGCAGCTGGCTTTCTACGTCAGAAAGCGTCGTTTGGAAGGCACTGCGCCGCTCGGGAACTGCCTATGGAGCTATGCAGGTAGAGACAGATAGACACAGATAGAGATAGATTCGGAGCGGCCATCAGAACACAGAAGAAAGATGGCTGTAAAGACTATCTTTTTGTAAAAGAAAGATTGCTGTAAATGGCTGTAAAGAGTTGTTTTTTACCATATATCCTGAGCCGCTCGGAGGACAATTTTTGGGTCAGTTTTGGTTTGGAATTGGATGGTGGAAAAGCGTGGCGGAGCACATTGGCGGGAGCCTTGCGGGCTGGTCTGCAGCTGTCTATGGCCCTGTGGAGGAAGAGCCAGCCACCGAAGCTCTATGCAGATGACCCGGATGCAGGGACTAATCATCCCTGTGTACCTGCCGAACGTCTTTACACGCTGTGACTCCAATGTTCCTTTTTGCTTCCATGTTTGTTTTCATGATACTTCCCACAAACCCTTTTTCTTGCCGCGTTTTGCAACTGAACCACCGCAGCTTTCCGCAGTCATGCGTGAACTCCTTTGAAACATCTTCAACTCACTGACTCAGCCGCCTTTCCGTTCCATCGTCCGTTTTCGCGTGGAATTGAGTTAACTGAAAACCATCTATCTAAGTGTGATATTCATCCAGCGTCGGAAATGGATGAGGACAACCCAGGCCCCCAGAAATAGAGAATTTCGGGTGGCTTTTGCTTCGGATACCGAGGCCGTAAGTGCTTGCGGACTCAATAAGAACCAGGGCGACAGGATGGCACCAGAGTCCTCTTATTATTCAGAGACCAGGAGAAAGGAGATTGCACAGCTGCTTGGTGCGAAGTTTTGGGCCCGTAAAGTAAGAGGTAGTTGGAGAATGGTGTGAGGAACCCAAGCTCATGGCAGCGTGCATGGTACCGACGCAAAGGGTGTCTTCGTTTGGCTCCGGGAGCAAGCGAGTTCCGGCCGCACGGTGGGAGGCGCGATGTGACGACAACCTGCAGACAAAGAGAACAGATGTCAGGGTCTCCTGCCATACTGTGTTTTGCGCAACACGCACCATGAGCAGCAGACAGCGGGTTCAAAGAAGGGGCAGGGTGTGGCAAACATTAGAGCAGGAAAAGTCTGCACAGTGGAAGATGTCAAGGAAGCAGAGCAAGGTCCGGGGCTGGAGTTTGCAGATCCTTTGTTTTGTTTTTGGTATGGTTGAGTCTCGACGTCAGATGGAGCTGTTGAGGGTGGAAGGGATGACGCTGGCGAGACAGCGCGGTGGATGTGTTTGCCTGGATATGTGGGGGCAGGGTGAGAGAAGAACAGTGGTTTCTCGTGGTGCCCTTTAGGCAACGCCCCTAGCATGGATGGAGAATCATGGGGATGCATTTGGTTGCCATGCGCCAAAAAGTGTGGCCCAGTAGTTTAAAAAACTAGTCTTTACAGCCATCTTTCTTCTGTCTTCTGATGGCCGCTCCGAATACTACGCGCACACACACACACTCTGGTTTTCCGTTAACTCAATTCCCAGGTGGAAAGAAGGTGAGGGAACGGAAAGGCGCATGAGTCAGCAAAACAGTATTGTTGAACAAGTGTTTCTCAAAACGCTCAAGTGAAAGCGCCGATCAGCTGCGGCAAAACGCGGCAGGAAAGGGTTTAGGGAGATAGCATGCAGGAACCACCATGAATCAAATCGAAAGTGGAAAAGCTTGAGCAACAGTGTCCGGTGCAGGTACGTCGGCAAGCGTCCTTGCCGATATCCTCAGGACACTGCAGAGAGCTTTGTTAAGTGGAGCTCTGCAGGCCTGCTCCACTCCCCTGCTGAAAAAGCATTCAAAACCCAAAAGCGAGGTGGAACCCTTAGGCACAGGGGTTGGCACACACACGGTGCCGCTTTGCGGCGCTCGTGCGACGGACCTGAATAGTTACCTAAAAAGCCTTAGAAAAAAAGAAAGAAACACAGAAAGAGCAGCGCTAAGAGGGCAAGAGAGAAAGGTAGGAGTAGAAAAAAGTGAATACTTAGCCCTTGACTGGGGTAGAGAAACGAGCCTCAAGAGCAACCTAAAAAGCCTCAGAGAAAGCCCAAGAAACGACCAAAAGCGCAAGAAAGAAAGTGGGGGGCAGGGAGGTGTATGTACATGTGTGTGTCCGTGTGTGTGTGTGTATGAATACTTAGCACTCTAGAATTACTGATTACTTAGCGGAAGCGAATTAAATGCAATAGTTAGGGAGCGGGACTTTAGTCTTAGACCGCCCGGGTAGAGAAGACTAGAAAGGGACAACAGAGGGAAAGGCACCGACACACAGGTGTGCCGAGTACCACTTCCCTCTGTTACCCTAATTAGTGGCTAATTAGTGGGTGGGTGGGGTTGGGGTGTTTGGGGTAAAAACCGCGTGGGGGTTCATTCTCCGTACAAGCCCGGCGGCCGTTGAACTCAAATGGTTTTATCCATATAAGCCCGGCGGCTCTTAAGGCAGTTGATCCAGTGGTGAAAAAGAAGTCAGTTAAGAAAATCCAAAGAATGGTGGAGACGAAGAGTCAGTTGCACGA